CATTTATTCCCATGGAGACTGAAAGGAAGAGAAGTACATGGCTATAGTCCTCTTCCTGTGACACATATTACAAGCATGGTTTAAAGTATTGATACACGCCAGTGTCATGGGGGTAGATCTGCAGCGGAAGAAACCCGTGTGGCGTCCAGGCCAAGGCAGGCTAGGACAAGTCTTATGTGTGCTTGGGGCTAGGAGTTGCCCGATGAGATGGCTCCACCAAGGTTAGTAGCATTGGATCATGACCTCAAGGCTCATGGCCGGGGCACTCTGTTGGCTCTTGCCGGTCCATGGGAGGCGCCTCTTACGTGCTAAAGGGGGACGGCCATGATCAGAGGCGACTGGGTGCCGATGAGAGGGACTCCTGTATGCCAATGATGTAGGCACCTGATGTGCCGATTATGATAGGCAACCGCTGGGCCGGAACACACCCGTGCGCTATGGGCAACGGGATAGCTCATTCAGCTTAGGCAAGGGGCTGGCATGGTGAAGGGTCATGCTTAGGCCAGGCCCGCATGCCAAGCCTCCCTTGAGTGTCGGTGGCGCAGTGCCGGTCCATGCACTGTCCCCATGAGCATGTGTGCGCCCATGAGGAACCTTGGTAGCCATGCTAACCATTAACCAGGGCCACCCTGCAAGGGATGTTGGTCTAGGAGTGCCAAGGTTAGGCACCCAAGGAGGTTGACCACCCCTCCTCAAAGAGTACGTTAAGCTTTTGGTAGTCTGCCTGAAGATAACATCAATTCTCCCAAAAATCTTACAGGCGAAAATGATGGTGATGTCCCTTAACGTAAGCCCGCCAAGCGTAGGCAAGGCTAAACCTGTGTCAGATTGTGACACCAGTGTATCAACAGAGGTGTATCGGTACTAAAAACCATGCGTGGTTATATGTTTTTTTTTTCAAAACTTGGTTTTTGGGGGTGTTTTTAAGTGTATTTTTTATTAAAAAAAGGGGGTTCCCGAAACACCTATAAACAGGTGTATCAAGATCCATTGATATGATACCATACGCCCGATACGGGGTGTACCATATCGAAATTTTGATCCTTGATTATAGGATTCTCTCCGAAGTTGATAGACTCAAGCTGTATTTTTTACCTGGGAGTATGTGGTTGTATCACGATCCCAAATATCATTGGCAATGAAGAGGAACATGTAGTTATGAGCAATACGAAGCTGCATCAAACACACCAGCCATGACATAACCAAAGAATTATCCTATTCCCACTTGGAAAACTTGGGGTCATTAGGTGTCGGCTTCCCCTCCTTACCAGTAATGAATCCCAACTTACTCTTTTTTTGATAAATGAATCCCAGCTTACCCTTACCTCCTTTGATAGTTATCTTGGCTGATTGATGCCACTCTAGGAAGTTGGTTCCATCAAGTTTCGCTGTAGTTATCACTTGAGACATCAACATTACTCGGTAGGGATTGCAATAGGACAGGTTCGAGGAGGGTTTTTGTAAATTCTAGATCCTACCTGCCTCCCTAAACCTCGCAACTTGTACACACCCCAAAACCTGTAGCGGGATGGATTTTGAGAATCTAAACCCTCCCTGCACATGAAAATGCAAAACCCTCCTTGACCCTAGCCTCCTCTCATTCAAGGGTAGGGTGGGCTGGGTTTAGAACCTGCATCTAATTTCCTATTATTTCTTATTATATATAAGCAATAAATAAGTAAAATAACACAAACAAGCAGCAAAAATTTCAATTATTTGATTAAAACATGTAAAAAACACAAACTATCAATTATCCTTCACATAAAATTCAAAATATTATTAAATTCAACACTCAATACATAAAATTTATATGTTTTCCAACAAGTGTGGGTCGGGCTTAGCCTAACACCGTACCTTGCTCGTACCCATACGGGTTGTAGAATCCCAAAACCTGTCCTTCAAGGAAAAAAACCCGCCTTGAGGCAGGTACCCATCGGGTAGGGTAGAAATTGCCATCCCTACCCGGGAGCACTCCAAAAACAATATGTACTTCCTAGGCAATTCCATTTGGCTTGGATAGGTTTCTTGACAGCTCTACAGCACTCCAGCAACCAACCAACACAAATTAGACCCACCAAAACAGGGCAACAGACACTCAATTGGACTTTGGAGTCCCAAAAATACCTAGGGCTTATAAAAATGTGAAACCACTTCCCATAGCTCCAGAAGAGTCAAACAACTCAAGAATAACAGGTTTTAAACAAGAACCAACTTCAGATGGAAGTGAAAAAATCCAAACATTGAAACAGTATTTCTGTAATTTCTGATTGTAAGATCCAAAAAATATCATAGTGAATCATATGAAGGTGAGAATCATACCAAAAAAATCCCTAAAATCAGGGTATACCAAACTGAACCAGCTTCAAGAGTTGCCACCTGCATCTATACTGACTGCTGACATCATCTGGCGGCAGTCTGACATCAGCAGGTCTTCCTGAGTCCGGGAGTTGACAAAGAAGTCTCTTCCAAGATCCTTCCTGCTCTGATACCAAGTTGCAAGAGTGTGGGAAGAAGGGAAGGAAGAAGAGAAGAGGAAGGAGAGTTACAGGAGAAGAGGTTCTGTTACTATTCACACCCCAAAAATACATTTATGCCCCTACATTGACACCCAAATACAAATAGGATAGAAAGACAATAATGCCCCTATTCCAAATACATATTCTCAACAGGTTCATATAGCTATTGATGAAAAACAGGTTCATAGAGCTGTATTGCTTGCACAGATTTGAATGACTGACAGGGTCTTGTAGGGGTGTCATTTACTGCTAAATTTATTTGAAGCCCCAATATCCCTATGAAATTTCCATTTTTACAAGGACAACATACTCGGATAATGCAGTGATGGTTGACTACTTGATTATGTGAGGAGAGTTCTAAGTCAGCCTCATGCTTCTTTTTCTATCACTCACTTGGTTGGTATGCACTTTTCGGAGTTTTGGTATGAACTAGGCCATGCCAAGGTGAAAGGGTTCAATTAGCACCCTTGAAGATTTATTCTAGAAAGAAGGTCTTACAACAGGTCCTAATATGGGATCATGATAGTACTTGAGGTTTGGGCTGAATTTGACACCAGTGTTCATGTCATAAATTATGTGATCTTTGATTTTATTAGGATTTATATTATTCTATAGTATATAATTTTGCATTGAATATTTTAAATATCAATGGATTTGATGCAGGACCTACCCAAACAGTAGCAAATTAGGTGGTTAGGGTGGGTCTATGCAAGCTGGAACTAGGCTGCAAAGCCCTAGTAGGGATGGAAATGGGGTGGGTTCGGGGAGGGTTTTATAAATTATAGACCCTACCCGCCTCCTTAGACCTCCCAACCCGTACCAGCCCCAAAACCCGTAGCGGGTTGGATTTTGAGAATCCAAACCCTCCTCGCATTCAAGGATAGAAGTGGCTTGGGTTTAGAATCCGCATCTAATTTCCTATTGTTTCTTGTTATATATAAGCAATAAATAAGTAAAGTAACACAAACAAACAACAAAATATACAATTATTTGATAAAAACATGTAAAATACATATAAACTATCAATTATCTTTCACATAAAATTCAACACATGATACTAAAGTTTATATGCTGTCCAACAATATGTGGGTCGGGGGACGAGGAGGGTTGGGTTTAGCCTAATACCGTACTTTTCCCATATCCGTACGGGTTGTAGAATTCCAAAATCCATCCCCACCCTAAAACCTGTCCTTCAAGCAAAAACACCCACCCCATTAGGGTGGGTAGGGATAGGTATGTTTGATAGTGTATGCCCTTAGCTCCAATCATATTGATGTACTTTTGATATTTATTGTAAATGAATAATAATACATAATTGATTCATATTATTATGATGTGTTTCTGTGTAATACCCTTAAACTGGACACTTATGAGACTCGTGTTAGTTTAGAATCTTCACAACCGTTGGATAGACCTGGGGAGGTTTATCCTGCCAAGGCTGACACTAATGTGCTGCCAAATCGGTTGGGGTGGCTTGTCTCAGCTGCTAGGGTGAGACCTAAAGCACATGTAGTGTGGGTTTGTTTGAAACTCTGAATCGGACCATTTTTCAGTTATGCCTTGGACCTTGGAGACAGATGGGCAAAACTGGAAAGTTACACCTAACCCCTAGACTCGATTATGGTACTGCACTAGGTGTTGGATTATGTTGTCTTTGATATGCCAATCGATGAGATCCTTAGCGGGGGTCAAAACTTGGGTATGTTGGGACAGTCCGAGAATTCATCTGAGTGGGTGATCATAGTGACAAAATCAACCCTTTTGTCTGAGAATTTACAAGGTGTCAATGCAGGTTATTGAGCAGTAGATCTGCAGATGAAGTCATCTTATTTCTTATTTTTAACTTTTGTTTTTTCCCTTTTTGATTAAAACATAAATGATATAAGAGTAAACAAAAAATAATGAACTTTATCAGCCTACATTTAAGGGGCCAGGTTTATTTTGAACCTAACAAACCAATGAACTAGGGAATTATGAGAAAAATTTAGTTGTCATTCCATTTTATTTGCCCTCCCTTTCTTTACCAAGTCTGTAGTTCTGCTATAGTGCTATTTCAGTTGACAATTTTCTGCCCCATATTTTTGTGAATTTCATTTCTTGCATCACCGAAAAGATTTCTAACACCAATGTGATGGTTTTTTCTGCATGTCATGGAATAACTACTTTAAGGTGGTTGATAATGATTATCTGCCTTAGATGTGATTCATCATGGTAGCTATTCATGATTGGCTCTGTTGATATTCACCGTATGGCTCAATTTTGTTGAGGTTGTGTGCTGCTTTGATGCAAATTTAAATGACCCTCCATGTTAAATATTCATTTCTTGTCAAACTTTTTCCTTTTAAGCTAGTATTATTTACTGATTTATTTATATAATTAGAAATTACTTATATAGATAAAAATTATATAATTTATTTATGTAGCTGGGGCCAACATTGGGCAATGACCTTTAATTAATAATTTCACAATAACTTTTAACTGCAGGCAGAGGAGTTGTGGATCAAGTGCAGACTAGATTTGGTGCAAATGAAAGAATCTGATAAAAATATTGACTTAAATTTTCCAGAGCAAATAGCCATTGGCTCCAATGGTATTAATTCTGAAGTGCAGTCATTGGAGAACGGAAACCTACAGAAAGCTATTAGTGCCCTGCCTTCCCAAACAATAGAGATTCTTTTGGATTGTTTAAGAAAGAAAGATCATTTTTACATTTCTGGAGAAGAGGGTGGTTCTAAGAATTGGTACACCAAGTATATGGAGTTCCTTTTTGGTTGGCCTGAATACTCCAGACGATTTTTGGGTGGAGTGTTGCTTCAAAATGTAGTAAGCCCTGCACAAGCCCCTGCAGTTGAACCACCTACTTATGGTCCAAGACCATCTTCCGCCCCAGCACCTGCCACCTCTTATATCCACCCACCTGTGGAGGCTCCGAAACTGCCATTTTTCCCCCGAGATTTTTCTGATTCCAGTCCACAACCTTCAACTTCACATTCTTCTGTTGATCCAATTGTTGCACCAGGTACACCGTCAAGAAAGCACAATAATAGGAAACCAGTTGTTATTGCTGTTGTTGTAACTGCTGTTGGGACACTTGTATTTGCTTCAATGCTCTTCTTTTTCTACCTTAAGTGTTATAGAAGTAGAACCAATACTGGCTCTGGAGATGGGCAAAAGGATGACAGGCCCCTGCTTAGCCTGGGCTTAAGCGATTATTCTGTTGGTATGTATATGCTATAAGTCTTGCTTTATCATTTGTTAAGCATGGTGCTAAGTTATTTTTATAGACCATTTGATAAATTCTTTTTTCTATAGACTATCAACTTTCAGGTTCTTCACAGAGGTATTCCACCCATGGAAGTTCAATTAACAAGGACAAGTATGGAACTCAGTTATTTAATACTAATATAAATCAAAATGGAAGAGCATCATCTTTGAACAGCAATTTGTCTGTAAAGCCTGATGTACACAACTCCTCCCCATCTGAAGCTCCATTATCAGGACGAATTACTGGTGCTGCCAAAACCCCAGTAGAGCCATCTACATCATCCAGCAATATTCATGCAACAGTTCCATCTCTTCCTCTAAAGTTGCCTCCTGGCAGGGCTAGACCTGCCCCACATCTACCACCTATACCTTCTGAGCTACAGCCATCGCCACCACCAATTGTACCTTCTAACCCACCACCTCCACCTTCTGGCCCACCACGACCTCCACCATCCATACCTTCTGGGCTACGACCACCACCACCTGTACCTTCTGGGCCACCACCTCCACCACCTATACCTTCTGGACCACGACCTCAACCACCTGTACGTTCTGGTCTACGACCTCCATCACCCATATCTTCTGGACCACCACCACCTCCACCACCTATACCTTCTGCCAGGCCTCGACCTCCCCTTCCTCCAGGTCCTCCCCCACCAAAGAATGTTTTTTTCCCTACACCAGGGAATGCTGTCAATGAAGGAACTAGTTTAAAGGCTCATGCTGAAGCTCCAAAAGCCAAGCTGAAGCCATTCTTCTGGGATAAGGTTCTTGCGAACCCTGATCATTCAATGGTTTGGCATCAGATTAGTTCAGGGTCATTTCAGTAAGTCTCTAAGGTTATCCCAAATTTTGTGCCTATGAAGTATTGATTTTTAGTTGCTGCATGGGCTAAAGCTGGTTATACTACATGTAACAGGTTCAATGAGGAGATGATAGAGACTCTCTTTGGGTATGCTGCTGCTGATAAAAATAAAAATGAGCGTAAGAAAGAGTCATTATCTCAAGATCCTTCTTCCCAGTACGTTCAACTCATTGATTCTAAGAAGTCACAAAATTTATCCATTCTTTTACGGGCATTGAATGTGACAACGGAAGAAGTCTGTGATGCACTGCAGGAAGGTAAATTCTACTCTTGCTTATGTTAAAAGAAGTAATATGCAGCAAAAAGTACTGTTATTAGTTTCTGGAGGACAAACCTTCTTCCCGGTGGCCAGTGAATGATCAACTACTTTGGGAGTATTGAAATATTAAGAATTGATAAATTTGATATCCTTGAGTAGTAGAAACATGAAAGTTTCACTATATCTGGCATTCCTAGACCAAGCCTCATGAAAAAGAAGAAATGCACAATCATGTTTTTTTTTTTTCTTTTTTTTTAAATTTGTTCTTATACTCAGAAGTTGAAGAGTGTTTTTTTTTTTTTTTTGATTGGTGAAGTTGAAGACTTGGGGGCCATTTGATAACAGTTGAAGTGGCTGAACTGAATGACTTCTTGCTTTGTCTTTTAGAAAAAGAAGTTACAAGCTCCTTAATGGCTGAAGATGAAGTTGGGTTGATTACTAGTCTGATGCAGGAGCTGAAGAGTCAAAATTGAAAATTTCTGAATTTTTTATGCATTTCTGTATTTTTGGACAGTAGGGTATTTTTGTCATTTTATAAATTTTCTATGGGGTCCAATGATAAGGTCTGGTTTTTCTAGTTATGGTTGGTTTAAGTTTAAAGTTTGAAAGTCATTAAATAAGTAGTTTAGGAGTTATTAAGTCTTCTTTTAATTGAAATAGAATGGTAGCATTTTAGTATGGGAGGGGTGGACTGGATACAGCCCTAACCTTTGGCATTTTTTCACAGAGTGGTCACTTTCAGATTTGAACCTGCATTCTCATATTTGATAGCCCAAGATTTTACCATTACACCAAGTAATGGACCCTATTTATTTTAGTCATCTGCAGCCTATAAATATTAAGGGAAAATCTATGATGTGGAAAAGATATGGTATGGGAAGAGTTTTGACCAATCAAAACCCACCCATGAATTTTTATAAATAACACCTGATTGGCTACCATGTTTATGATTCCAATTGACTGGTGAGAAGTTTTTCAGATATCATATCTTTTCCATATCATAGTCGAATGGACATTTTACAGTCTATAAATGAATCCAAGATTCTTTTAGTCATCCTACAGTCTATAAATGTGAATGGATGTTTTGCACTAGGACCAATTAAGTTCATTTGAGTTCATACAATTTATGATACTTATGGTGAGTGATTTCCATGGCCTAGAGTAATTTTAGGTACCTCGTGAGTGATATCAGGTTTCTGTTTTTTTTTTTTTTTGAGAAAAATTAACAATTTTATTAAGAAAAGATCAATGGGTACATGAGGAGATGTACCGCTGCAGAAAAGACTTCGCCAAAGAAATTAGAAAGGTAACATACGGTCACTAAACAAAGAGTTCCTATGGATCCCTGATTTAGCTAGACTGTCAACCATTGAGTTTAGGTCCCTAAGGATCCATCTTAGTTTTACAATTAACCGAGCCATAATATCTCTTGCTTCATTCAGGTACTGCATTAGATGCCAAGGGCCACTATCCTTATCCCCTAACTATTTTAAGGTATTTGCTGAGTCTCCTATAATGTTATGGGGGGAAGTTCCATACTCTTTGCAATTCGAAGAGGAAGACCTATGAAGGCAGCCACAATCTCGACTTTTGTAGAGTCCACAATCCCTAAGGGTCCACTGAAAGCCCATCGAATATTCCCATATTCCTCCCTGAACATACCACTAATCCCAGCTTCCCATGGATTGCCTACTTTACTTCCATCGAAGTTCAATCTTAAGCCCACCTCCTCCCTCGTTTGGGGATTCAAACAGCAGTAGGAGTCAAGGGAGAGGAGAACAAAAATTCCACCAAGGTCCTTTGTAGGTCTGATAGGGTAACTCTGTTAAAAGTCTTGGAACCTGCCATCCAACTGTTGCATAAAAAGGTTATGTAGGATATGAGATCTTCTGTGGTTCTTTTCTTGTTATGTGGGAAGAAAGATACCAGTTTTATCTCTCTTCTATCTCTCTATTCTCTTCCTTTGTCCTTCAAGAGGCCATTACAGTCCACTAAAAGATGAGGTAATAAGTCATAGGGTTCAGTCATTGAAGCTGTTATCAAACAACACCTTAAAGTGTAACCTGTGGAGCATGCGAAGTAAATGAGTACTCTGAGATTTGTAACGTTTTTTGATATGTATAATTTGTGTATGTAACGGTGAATGTTATGCTCCGGCTATTGTGATAAAAGGGGGCAGGTGGCACCTCACTTTTGAAAATAACGTTCTTGCCTTAATGACCCAAAAAATAATTTATCAGGGTTCTTGTGGGCCAATAGGCTTGGGGTATTTTTAAGTTTTTTTATAGGTAGGGTATTTTTAAATCTATGCAAGGGTTGTTGATTTATCAAAATAAGGGGTGCTAAGATCACTCATGATATGTATGTATTTTACCTACATGAAGATATATGTAGAAGTTTTAGTTATTTATTCATTTATTCAATAACAAGCTAATAACTGGTAAGAAAAGTCAAGAAGATTAAGAAGCTACTAGTCCCCAATTGTCAACCAAAAATCACAAATAAAAACAAAAGAAAGTAAGAGGATGCATCTGATCCATTAGAGGTTCCCATAGGGATTGTCAAGGTAGTTTGAGAGGTTTGGCAATTGGAAGCCTAAAGCAAATTTCTAGGGTGTGGCAGCGCAGGGAGGGGGTTCTTTCAAAGGAACTCATAAAAGAGTCAAGATTGTTGGGGTAGTCATACAAGGAGAATGTTCTCCTTAATCAACCTCTTTGTCAATGTTTTATTTTATGTTTGTTGTTCTTTCTTCTGGTCTCTAAGTGGGAGTGTCATTCATTCCAGATTGTTTTATTTTAATAAATGCTTGATCTCATTACTCAACAAGCTCAGCAACTCAGCCTTAATCTGAACTAGGGGCCATTGTTTGGTTTAATGGTAAAATCCTGGGTTGACAAGTGTGAGAAAAAATGAGAATGACCACTTTGTGTATTAAAAGAAAAAGCCAGATGTTTGGTCTATATCGAGTCCACCCCTCCAAGACCCCAGATATCTGGGACCAACTGATCAACATTGGGTAATAGACTTGTATCCTTTATTTATTTATGGGTTTCCTTCCCTTTATCTTTTTATGGTTAAGGTGCAGACATGGTTCACAATATTAACAAGATTTGGCAAAATCTCCTCATTTCTCTAGGAGGCAATACAAAATATTTCAAGAATCTTTTTCCCTAATATCTCCAACATATTGCTGATATATGAATGATATTTCAAATTTCATTGATCGGCTATACATTCAAGGTTTAAAATTTTAGAATATCAGTGATATCAATGATATTTCAAGTTTTTAAGTTACTGCTAGTAGCTGGTTTACATATATGTTGTACATACAAATTCTTTCTCCTAAGTAACAAAAGCTTTTGTTGCCTATTAGAAAAAAAAATAAAATTCCAGTGTTTTGTTAAAATCATCATTTTTTTTTTGAGAATCATTTCCTAAAAGAATAAAAATGGTGATTCAATGATTGTATGACTTGTACACTATTCTGATATGATTTACTTCTTAAGCCACTATAATTCAAAATAAAAAGAAAAAAGAGACACAAATACAAAAAAGGATTCTTGATTAACCGAACATCTAGTAACAAAGAAACACAAGTCATGATGGAAAGTAAATGACATACGTAAAGAAGAGAAGATGGCTTAAAGACTAGAAGGGAAGGACAAAGATTGAACAAAAGATGGCAAACAAAATTCCAGTTGTTTGCTATGGTTTTTTAATCAGCAATAAAGATTGATTTATTAATAAAAATATGTGAGATTAGTACAAAAGGATGACCAAATTGCCATCCCCAAAGAAATATAACCAGTATTACAAAGAGGCCCAGTACAGATGCTGCCTTGCAGCCCCTTGTTTGGCTAAAGTATCTGCTAGCACATTAACACTCCTTCTAATCCACCTGAATTCAACATTTATATCCTTTGCTAATCTTTCAACTTCCCTATAAATATGTTTAAGTCCATGGAATATGTCTGTTACACTTTGCCGAAGAAATCACTAATTTCCACTTCCACATGTTGAAAATCCAATTGGTTTGCCAAGTGGAGACCCTGCAGTAAAGCCGATAACTTGTGCCTTCACTGAGTTTGTGATGCCAATTGACCCTGAATATAGAGCCACAATCTTACATTCCGAGTTCCTGATTGCTCCACCTATTCTTGTCAAACCCAGGTTTCCCAAAGAGATGCAAGTAAAGTTCAATTTTACTTTATTAACCTCTAGTGGCTTCCACTCTACTCTTAGTTTTTCCTTTTCTCTAGATGATTGAGCTATTTCCTTCCATGCCATTAGAATGTCAGTAATTGAGAAAAGCTGAAAACTATCTAATGTTTTTTTCCACATGGCAACCCTCATTTTTATATTGTCAATTACCTCCTCCAAGGTTCCACTTTTTCTAGCGAAAATTCTTTTGTTCATTTCCTTCCACACCACCCAAGCGACAACTGCCTTAGTAGCTCTCCAAATTATGCTCCCTCTCTTCTTTTGTTGCCTTCAGAAGTTTGGATTGATGTCACCTCTTGGGGAGGGTCCCACCTTCAACCAAAGAGAACAGAAAAAGTGAAAAGCTCCTGAATGAGAAGTACAAAGGGACGAGAATAATAAATGGGATAGGGTTTTTCCACTATCCCTAAATAAAAAGCACATATGAGGAGAGAGGCAAGAAAAAGGCCTCCTTTTCTACAACAAATCACAAGTATTTACCTTGCCAAGGAAAAGTGCCCAACAGAAAGCTTGAATTTTTGGTGGGACAGGCTTACTCCAAATTTCTTTCATCATGAGGACCATCTCTTAGGAGCTAACAGGGGCAAGATATCTGAAAAAAAAAGTAGGAGAAGGGTCCATCTGGGGAAATTACCCAGAATCTAGAATTTTCCAGGTTTGGGTCTGTGAATAAACCCTAGTTGATTCTAGGTCAAAGTAGAGAAGAAGGAAGAAGAAAGAAAAGAGAAAG